AACAAATAAGAGTTTTTTTAGCCAAGCACATCCTTGTAATCCCAGTTATTGGAGAGGCTGAGGCAGGAAAATCAAAACTTTGAGGCAAGTCTGGGCAACTTAGTGAGACGCTGTCTCAAAATATAAAAACAGATGGAGATAGAGCTCAATGTCAGAGTATCTCTGGGTTCAATCCCTGGTACTGGAAGTGGGGCAGCTGAAGAAGATGATGAACACGTAGAAAACGAAGAGGGAGGGGGCAGAGAGAGAGATGAGGAGGAAGAATTTTTTAAAAATACATCATCACAATTTTTACGAGTAACAAAATTTCAGTCCATATTCTAATTTCCCAGTTGTCTCAGAAATGTTTTCGGATTTGGTTTGTTTGAATTGGAATCTAAACAAGATTTATACATTACATTTAGTTATGTCTTTTTTTGATGACTATGGAATGTTGTTTTCTTCATTTAGCTGATTTTTAATGTTTAATTTTTCCTTTATTCTTTGAATTTCCCATAAATTGGCAATTGTCTTTATTTTTTATTTTTTTGGTATCAGGAATCGAACTTAGGGCCTTGCACTTGCCAGGCAGGTGCTGTACCCCTGAGCTATGTCCCCAGCCCAGCAAATTGTCTTTAGAGGTTTGATTAGAATGAGGTTCAATTTGGAGGCCAAGAAAACTTCTCAGGTGGCACTGTGCACTTTCTTTAGCGTCACATTTTTCATAATGTGAGATTGATCGGTGGAGCCAGACTATATGAGAACTGACAGACATCTTATCTCACACTGTCTCACTCTTGCGTTGTTTTCTGAACTCGTAGATCACATTGGAGATTTTGTTATTTGTGTCCTAAGTAGCTTGAGGTGGTAATGGTTTTGGAGTTTTTACTAGAGGTGGAACAGAAACCCTCACAGGTGTCTCTTGCCTGGCAGGTCCATGCGAGAAAGGGAGAACCATAACCGCAAAAGTGCCAGCTCCTGTGATGTCTCATCCAGCCCTTCCCTGCCAAGCCGTGTGCTGCCTGCTGAAGAAGTGAGGAGCCAGGCTTCTGATGACAGCTCCCTGGGGAAAAGCGCTAACATCCTGATGATCCCACACCCCCACTTGCACCAGTATGAAGTCAGCAGCTCCTTGGGCTACACCAGTACTCGAGGTCAGTGCTGATGCAAAGCTAGGGACAGCTGCTTTCCTATAGGCAGGGATAGGAGTGCCAGGGAGTGGTGAGGGTGGGGTATGAATTCCAACTCTTAATTATTTCCATGGCAGTGAAAGTGGTACAAATCATATTAGATGTTAGCTATGTGTGTATTATACTACTTTTGCCTGTACTCTTTCTTACCCTATCATTATAACTGTATAATTTTCTATATGTTAGAATGGAGCTTTTTGTAGGCCCAGGATGAAAGGGGTTTGCTTATCTCCTTACCATTTCCATTTTTGCCATACTTAAAATAGCCAGTATCCTATATAGTCACCTCTCCATATTTATGTTTTCTGTATCCATAGATTCAACCAACTCTGGAATAAAAATATTTAATAAAAAAGGTTGGGTCTGTACTGTACATATACAGAATTTTTTTCTTGTCATTATTCTCTAAACAATTCAGTATAGCAATTATTTGCATAGTATTAGGTTTTATAAATAATCTAGAGATGATTTAAAGTATATGTGTAGGCTATGTGCAAATACTACAGCATTCTGTGTAAAGGAATTTGGTATCCACAGGGATTCCTGGAACTAGTCTTCCACAGATACCAAGGAATGGCCATGTTCTATTTTATTTTCAGTTAACTCACTCTCAGTCTAATCTGACGTGCACTGAGGAACCCAGGTTTGGCTCCTTCTTGAGTCTTAGATTGTCTATACGGTAGCAACTGCCACTACTTTATTGTTTTTTTTTAAAATTAATTAATTTATTTTTTTGGTCTTTTTGAGACAGAGTCTCACTGTGCAGTTCAGCTGGCCTTGAACTCACTTCACTGGCCCAGGCTGGTCTCGAACTCGCAACGATCCTCCTGCCTCAGCCTCCCGAATGCTGGGATTACAGATGTGCACTACCATCCCTGGCCCACCACTAGTTTATAGGCACCTCCTGACTTCTTAAATTTTTTTTTTTTTTTTTGTCTTTTGGGACAGGGTCTCGCTATGCAGTTCAGGCTGGCCTTGAACTTAACTTTGTAGTCCACGCTGGCCTTGAACTTGTGGCAATCCTCCTGCTCAGCCTCCCGAGTCCTGGGATTACAGGCATGTGCCACCACACACGGCATCGTTATCATTATTAGTGTTTGGACAGGGTCTCTCTAATTCTTTTTTTGGTGAATCAGAACATCACTTCATTAATTTACTGTGAAAAAGCTGTCATGGATCTTTGTTCTTTTCTTGCAAATCAGCTTGAGAGTTGAAATATGACATGTAAGATTCTCTGCAAGTTATTGTGTAGATAATGGTGAGTAGAGTAAAACATTATTTGGCTAGACTGGTGGCACAAGCCTGTAATCCCAAGCACTTGGGAGGCTGAGACAGGAGGATAGAGGCCAGCCTGGGTTACATGGTAAGTTCAAGGCCAGACCTGTCTCACAAAAATCAAACAAAGAAATAAACCAAAAAACCCTAAAATCTTTGATACCACTTTCTAATCTGGGTGATTGCTTAATGAACAGTGGATGCAGAGAAGGGGTATTGGTTATAGGTTTCAGCTCTTTGATTTATTCAGGTTATGTAGGATTCAGCCTCTATCACCATAATAGCCTGTTGAACAGGACAGGTTGAGCCTAAACATTATAATATCTTCCTTGTCTGGAAGTTGGATGTATTCCATTTATTTATTCCTTTTCCCCCCAAGATTTTGTTTAAGTTTTTGAGAGAGTCTTGCTATATAGTGCAGGCTAGTGTTGAACTCACAATCCTTCTGCCTCAGCCTCCCACGTACTGGGATTACAAACATGAGCCATCATATCCACCTTCCTGAAGAATATTTTTTTTTCTGCTTAACATAATAACATTTGATTGCTTATGCTTGTCAGTGTACACTGAAGCAATGGGAGAAGATACCCTCTCAGACATTCAGGGATTCAGGTTCTTTGTATCCTTGGATGCTGTAGTCTTCAACATTGGTCTCCAAAGTTGTCATGGGAGAGGAAAAGAGACTGGAGATCACTGCAGAAATATTTGCAGTTTGGACCTGGAACTGTGGCATGTCATTTGCACTCATGTTCCACTGACTAATTCATTTGGTTTTAGTGCAGAGGGACACAGAATTCTAGTCTCATTGTGTCCAAAGGGAAAATCACTGGGGCTAGTGAAAGTAAATGAACATGTTTTGTTTCTTTATAGATTCACATTTATTCCTTTCTTTCATTCTTTGGTATTTATGATGTCCAAGATTCTTACTGGCCTTGGCCTGTCAGTCTGCCTAGCTCTGATTTCATTGTAGCTTTTGTGTTCTGTCTTTGTTCCTCAACACTGTGACATTTGGCAGATGTTCTGGAGAATATGATGGAGCCTCCCCAGCGAGACTCCAGTGCACCAGGGCGGTTCCATATAGGCAGTGCAGAGTCCATGCTACATGTCCGACCTGGTGGATACACACCTCAGCGTGCGCTCATCAACCCCTTCGCCCCCTCACGAATGCCCATGAAGCTGACATCTAACAGACGGCGATGGATGCACACTTTCCCTGTGGGTGAGTTGGCTGCCAGGAGAGAGCCTTGGGCTGTGGGTGCCCAGCCCTCGTCCTCAGCACTAATCAACCTTGTGTCCTTGGCTGAGTGCCTCTGCCTCTCTGGGCTTCTGTGATTCCACCAGTGCAGTCAGGCCCCCTTTGCTTTTTTCAGTGGTTCTCATGAGAATTCTTTTTTTTTGTCTTTTTTTCCGGTACCAGGAATCAAATTCATGACCTTGTCCTTGCCAGGCAGGCGCTTTGCCGCTGAGCTAAATCCCCAGCCCTCATGAGAATTCTTGAAGACACACTTGAGCATAGGCTTTGTAACTGACAAGCTACATTAATTTAAGAGCTTCTTTTTTTTTTTAACCTGAAAGGGACTATGCCTTACCACCTCCCTTCTTTCGTAAGATTTAATATCTCTTATTGTCACTCATTTCTGCTTATTTGTTTGTTTGTTTTTTGGGACAGAGTCTTGCTATGTAGTTTAAGTTGGCCTTGAACTGACTATGTAGCCCAGGCTAGCCTCAAACTCATGGTGATCCTCTTGCCTCAGCCTCCCAAGTGCTAGGATTATAGGCGTGTACCACCATGTCTGGTTTTCATTCATTTCTTTTAGCTTTCTGTCTCTCTAGATATTAGGGTTACTATTTTGCTTATAGTTATGTTACTTTTTTTCTGTCAGGGTCTATGATGACTAAAGAAAAATATTTTAAATCACTATTTTTTCTAGCTCTTCCATTTAGATCTGTAATGTCTTTAGGAAGATGACAGTAAGGTTTTTATACAGCTATATCTACAATTAAACTTCAGTTTAATGGGCTCCTACTGGGCTGAGGAACAGATGCTTTAAACTCTAGGGTCGGTTTTTTTGTGTTTGTTTTAATGGAAACTATCTTGCTGAATGCTTGGAAATGTTTATTTTCTTTTGTACCTGCTTTTACTGTAGAAAAGTTAAATAAGTGAGAAATGAATCTGGTTCATTTGACTGCAATTGATAGTCATTCTTAAACCCTGTTAGCCCCCTTATTTTTGCTATAATCACACCACTTGTGTTTTTGTGTGTCTTTTCCTTTTCATTATTATTCCTGCTGGTTCCCTTCAAAATCTCTTAGAACTATCTGTGTTCCTTTCATGACCTTCAGCTCCTCTTGCTTCTGTACTTTTCTTCTTCCTACTGTTCGTACATACATTATTAGAATAATAGTCTCCCAACGCAGTTTTTTTCATCCTTGCGCATGTACCCCTCTGATAGCTAAGGCCTTCCTTTGCTAGACTTCCCATTTTCTAGCCTCTTTACTCCCATCTTACAGGTTCCTTTCTTTCTAAGCTAATCGAGTGGTTTTCTGCACATGTTCGTTTGTTACTGTTTTTTTGATACGGAGTCTCACTATGTAGTTTAGGCTGGCCTTGAACTCATGGCGATCTTTCTGCCTCAGCCTCCAAGGTGCTGGGATTACAGGGATGCATGCCAGGCTTGTGTACTTCTTGCCTCTTTCTCATTTGGAATTTGACAAATATAATTTCTTTTACCCACATGCCCTCTCTTTCAACCCATTAACCTTATGCAGCACTTAGCTCTAAAACTTCTTTCCAGGAGGCTTGTTTCAGTAGACTTGACTAATTCTGATGTTTCCTACTCTTTTTTGTACTTAAGCATCTCTTACTTCTTAGAGTCACACTGGTTATTTTCTTAAGTAGTAACAGAATCATCTGTTTCGTTAATGTTTCCTTCTCATTTAGTTTGTGTTAGTCCTCCTATACTTTTATATTTCTCTGTGATATCTCTTGGCATGCATAAAGCAGAGCCTTCTAAAAGCACTCTTAAGAGACTGGATAGGATGATAAACATCATGTCACCAGTAGGCTAGGTCCTGTTTGGAGGAGGAGGACTCCTCTTTGGGAGCCGGAGTGTCCCTCGTGTATATGTTCTTCTGTGGTGTGCTATTTGTTGAGTCTTTCCAACACCTGTTTCCCAGCAATTGGAAAGAAGGGAAACTGTAGTTAAGTACACAACACTAGCTGTCAGGTGGGAATGCTGCTAAGTGGTTCTTTGTCTGGGTAGGACCATCTGGAGAGGCAATCCAGATCCATCATCAGACCCGACAAAATATGGCGGAGCTTCAGGGCAGCGGGCAGAGGGACCCAACTCATTCCTCTGCAGAACTGTTGGAGTTAGCGTATCATGAAGCAGCTGGAAGGTGAGGATGTGCCCAGGGCTCTGGAAGGTAACTCATCTGGCAGCCAAGACAATGTTGAGGACAGACTGATGATAAGATGTTGTGTTTATAAAACTTGAACAGACATTAAGGCTTTGTTAGCCAGTGTCATTCCCTTCCCTGGGCAAACTGCAAAGCAGGTAGCCTGACATTTGTGCCTGTGGTAGTGCTTAGGCCCTGCTTTAGGGTTGTGTGGGTTTTTTGTTTTTTGTTTTTGTAGTGGCTGGGAGCAAACCAAGAGCTTGGTACATACTAAGCACACATTGTACCACTGAGGTATATCCCTAGCCCTTTAGGTTTATCTTGAGGTTACATTTTGGAAACTTCAAGCACAGGTTTTTTTCAAATCTCAGCCAGGGATGAAAGTGAGAGAGAAAAGCCATTGAGTTTGGGTTACTGAGACAGGTGATCCATGCTGTTGATTTGGGTAGCTTTCCCATGACTATGTTTTGTTTTGTTTTTTGAGACAGGGTCTTGCTGTGTAGCCCAGGCTGGTCTTGAACTCACATAATCCTCCTGCCTCAGCCTTCCAAGTGCTGGGATTACAGGCGTGCACCACCATGCTCAGCACACTATTGCCTTTAGAACAAGTTAGTGCTAACTGCAATGGAATTCAAAGCCTGTGTTTATGAAGCAGTTGATTTTGATCCAAACCTCTGAATATGTTACATGGTATCTAAAGAGGATCAGCATAGAACCAGGTATGGTGGTGCACACCTGTGCTCCTACAGTCTGGAAGGCTGCAAGTGTGAAGCCAGCTGGGCAACTTAAGTGACTTAGTGAGACCATGTCTCAAAATACAAAATAAAAAGGGCTGGAGTATAGCTCAGTGCAGAGGCCCAGGGTTCAATCCCCAGTACTTCAAAAGGTGGCAGGGGTGGGGATGGGAATAGGGGAAGAGGGTCAATAAAGGAAAACAGTGAGAAAGTGAATTAAGGCTTGACAAATACAAACCTGGCTTATACCTAGGCTCACCTTCGTGCCTCACTTTAGGAAATATTTTACAAAGAGTAAACTTTGATCCCTCTTGTCAAAGTAACCTTGTCATCCTATGGGATGGGTAAGGGCTCTGGGCAAGGCATGGCCCTCTTTACCAGATTAAGTGTGGTACGTTTATTCGGACACTTCACTTCCGTCTGTGTTAGTAAGGGGAAGATATAGGTCAGGAAGAGTGGGTGGTCCAGCATATCACTGAGAGCATTTGGGTGCCAAGGCAGTAGGCCAGAGCTGGCACACAAAGAAGCACTACCGCCTGATGGCTTGAGATATGGACCCCAAGGGTTACCAGCCCGTGTGGCTGAATATTCAGGTCTGTTTTTTGTGAGACCCCCTTTCCTTTCTCAGACCAGTACAAGCTGAGCAGGAAAAAGAGATGATGCTCCGCATTAAGCCAGGTGGCTGGGCTCTGTTCTCTGCAGGCACAGCACTTCTCGCCAGCCTGGTGACGGCATGTCCTTCTTGAACTTCAGTGGAACAGAAGAGCTTTCTGCCAGCCTGCTTAGCAACAGTGGTGCAGGTAATTCATCTGAGAGGTAATAGAATTGGGACACTCAGAGCAGGCTCACATCGAGAAGGCCGGAAAAGCAGGGTCATGTCTTTTTCAGGACTATTTCAGCCACGATTTTGGGTGACCTATTTAGAAGCAGTGCTGTATAATGCATGGAATTATAGATGGGCTGCACATTACATTTTTAGCTGAGAACATATTGGTCAGGCCCCATTTATCATTGTTCTGTCAGGGAGTCGTGATTGAGGGCCACTAGGTATTTCGGGCAACAGAGACAGAGCTGGAGTGGTCTCTGCTTCAGAGGTACTTTCAGTTGTTGGGAGCAGGGAGTAAACCCACCCTCACCAAATCAGTCAGGAGAGACCCAGAAAGGAATGATGTGGTCCCAGTTATAAGGTCAGAAAAGAGAAGTAAGAAGTGAGCATGCATCCTAGGCTTGAAAAATTGAATTTGGTTGGATAGAGTTAGAAGGCAAAGATTCCAAGTGCAGGTGGTGGGCGGGTAGAGTTTGAAATGAACTTGGTTTTATTCTTCCTGGGAGCACTTCTGTATCTATCTGATCATTCCAGTAGGACCTAAGATACTGAATGTATAAAGCAACTTAATGCCCAGAGATGTAGAAATATTAAACTAATCTCTCACAGCAGTAGCCAGGTATCCTGACTCGGACTGCTGTCTTGGTTTGACTACTGTATTCACAATTCCTCTTAAGGGCATAAGGGAACATGAATTTGAATAGTTGGAAGCAGTTTCTGTAAAGCCTCAGAGAACAGGTATGTGGTGTGATCAAAAAATATGGTGAATATTAAAATTTTTTTTTTTTTTTTTTTTAAATATTACATAAAAGGACATACTGACTTTAATTTCCCCATGAAGTACTCCCCCTCACTTCAGTGATACTTATCCCATCATTCTTGCCACTTTCTGAAGCAGTTCTGGAAGTCCTTTTTCATGTCTTTAGTTGTGGCTGCCTTGATGTCCTGAATCAATTCAAAATACTTACCTTTCATGGTCATTTTGACTTTGGGGAAGGAACAAAAGCTGCATGGTGTCAGATCCAGTGACTAAGATAGGTGAGGGCACACTGTAATGTTTTTGCAACCGTACTTTTCCATTAGTTGGAACTTGCTGTATTCTTTTTTATCATACCTTATGAATAATTGAAAGAGGACTTCTAGAACTGCTTCAGAAAAGGCAAGAGTGGTGGGATAGAGGTGTTTGAAGTGGGGCGATGGATAGGGTGGGATGGTGTAGTTTGAGGGGGAATAATGGCAATGTATCTTTTACTATAATCAGTTTTTAAAGGTTTAAACACAGCATATTTTTTGATCAGCCCTTGTTATTATACAAAGTAAGTATGAAAATGTTAATACTTCATTCTGCTACTTCATTCCTTAGTGTTCTGTAAGGTAATTTACATTTCTGAAAGTTGGTTTAAGGAAGGTGTCATGAAAGTGAAGTTGTATAAAATTGGTTAATATTTTCCTTAATTCATTGCTCAATACTTCCAGTAATAAGCTCAGAGGCCTGTGGGTAAGGCCTGGAGACTGGGTAGGCAGGAAGAGAATCCCAAAATGATTGTAATCTCATTCATTCATTCTTTTAAATGAGACAACAAATGAATACAAGTTTGGGGAGTCAGAAGACATTTTATGTCCCTGTATTCAGGGTGCTGAAATGTTACCTGGCTGCCAAACCCTGTCAAGTGCTTTCAGAAGAAAAAAAAAAAGGAAGAAAGAAACAAAACAAAAAACATATAAAGTGCCCTCCAAGTGATGTAAAGGCAGTATTTCTATGGTAAAACCAAGGAGGCTTTTTAAAAGAAAGAAAGAAAGTCAGGGTTTGAACTTTTTAGGATATTTGGAATAGAATTACATGACAAGGGCCACTCTGGGCTTTCTGGACTACCCCTTGAGCTGGTTTCACTTTAGACCTCAAGCAGCGGGGATTATAGATTCAGACGGTAGCAGAACCAGGATCCACCCAGTCTGGTGGCCTAGAATAGCTGAGGAGGACCAAGTAATTCCCTAGATGTGTCTTTTGGAATTTAAAAATCTACTCTGGGGAAAAGAGTGAGCTATTAAAGAATCCTCATTTGGATGGTTACAGATCCTCAGATGCCACTGTCATGGCATCCTCTCAGCTAAGGGTTTCCTGGCACGTACACGGTGGAAAAGTGTTTGTCACAACCTAGAGCTCTGCCTCAGCCTTACCCTTTTATGCTCCTGAGCCATAGATCTGCCTTCCTGATGGACCTTTCCAGTTGGTTGATTACTAAATATCTCATCTTTCATGTGTGATAGCGGAACTCATGTCTCACCACACCGCACCCACCCTTCTTCTTCTGTTCCCTCTTTCTTTTGCTGTTGTCTCCTCATCTCTATCTTCACTGCTTTTGTTCAGGGCCTGCTCATTCTGTCAGTATAATTTCAGCGGTAGTGTTCAAAAGATGTTCCTGCTCTCTTTTGTTTTCTGATTTGTCTACCATATGCTCAGCAGTGAGATATTTCCAAGCATGAATTTGATCTTCTGCTTTCCACATATAAACCCTTCTATGGTTTTTTCTTGTTTGTTTGTTTGTTTTCCAGTACTGGGGATTAAACTCAGGGCCTTTGCACTGAGCTATATTCCCACCTCTTTCTTTCTGTCTTTTTGGTACTGGGAATTGAACTCAGGACCTTCCACTTGCCGTGCAGGCACTGTGCCACTGAGCTATATCCCTAGCCTTGTTTGTTTTTTTTGGAGACAGGGTCTTGCTATGTAGTGCAGGCTGGCCTTGAACTCACTTATATAGTCCAGGCTGCCTTGAACTCATGGCGATTCTCCTATTTCAGCCTCCTGAGTTCTAGGGTTATAGGCATGTGTCACCATGCTTGGCATCATTCAGTGGTTCTTCAAGTGTTATAGTGCTACCCTATCAAGTGCCTCCTTACTCCCTTTGTATCTTCATTTCCAAATGGCATTATAAATGGAAAAAAGTGTAGCCTTTAGAATCTTAGGACATGAGCTCAAACTCTATTTCTAATGCATGCTGAGGCCCTGGGCCCAAGTACATAACCTGTGTATCTAATTTTCCTTCATTGTGAGGACGATACTTGTGAATATTATAGTATGGCAACCCATATAAATGCTTTGGGCAGTGTCAGGGACTCATGGTGATGGCTCAGCAAATAGGAGCTATTTAATCCTAGCACTTGGAAAGCTGAGCCAGGAGGATCGCGTCGAGTTTTAGGGCAGTCTGGGTAGGTAGTGGGTTCAAGGCCAGCCTGAACTACATAGCAAGACCCTCTCTCAAAAAACAAAACAAAAAACCTGAAAAACCCCAACAAAACAACCCAAAAAAACCCCAAGTAGGAGCTATTGTGATTGTTGTTATGTGAGTATATTTTATCTTCTAGCCATTGCTGTGACTTCTCAAAAGAACTATATCCTTGTATTCTTTTGCCTACTCTCATACTTCTGTATGGGAGTGCTTCACCCTCTCTTCAACCCCTGATTCTGTGTGGAAAGTATCTACTCAGTCTTTATGGCTGAGCTCCAACAGTACCTTCTCTTGGAAGCCTGCTTTGGTGATCGCCTCTACTCCCCGTGCCCTCTCAGGAGATATTAGGTGTTTTACAAGAGCCCTGCATACGTAACCCCATTGTGTAAGTTTGCACATCGCAATCCCACTGTTTGCTTCCATGTCTGTCTCCTCATGTATTCATTAGCTCTGTATTGCTGGGACGAATACCTGACAGATAGGACTTAAAGGAGGAAAGGTTTATTTTGGCTCCTAACTTCAGTGGTTTCAATCCATTGTTCACTGGTTCCATTGCTGTGGGCCTGAGGTGAGGCAAAACATTATGGCAGAATGCCCTGGTGGAGCAAAACTGCTTACCTCATGGCAGCCAGGAAGCAGAGCGAGGGGAAAAGCCAGAGAGGAAGAGGCCAGGGACCAGGTATGGTCCCCAAGGTTGTAACGCAGTGCCCCACTCACCTCAGCTAGGCCCTGCCTCCTCAGTCTCACCACCCAGTAATGTCATAAAGTTATGACCTCATCAGTGGACTAATCCACTGAGGAAGTTAGATCTACTCATCTCTGCAAACAACTGTGAATACACCCAGAAGTGTGGTTTCCTAGTTCCCGAAACATTTTCTCAGTCTGATGAAGTTGACAGGGAAGATTAGCCGTCACACCCCACTAGACTGCAAGAACTTATCTTCTCCGAATAGTGTTTAGCATACTTATTAACTGATGAATTTATACTTCTAAGACATCTATGAGAAGCATTTGAATGACCTACAAAATCATTAATTGGTATATGAGTTTTTAATTATATACATATGTTCTAGAGTTGTGGGCTCCTGGGCTTGTTTTTTTCAGTTGGGCTGGTATAGTTTAGTAGGGTCACCTTTGTATTTGACCAGTCCCCTTTGGAAGTGTAGCATATGTTTTCTTTTTTTTCTTTTTTTGTGGTACTGGGAATTGAGCTCAGGACCTTCCGCTTGTGAGGCAGGTGCTTGTGCCATTGAGCTATGTCCCCAGCTTAGCGTATGTTTTCAGAGAGACTGTATAGGTATTCTGGAGATGGTCTGTAGCTACCTGGGAATTGAACTCCCACCTTTGACCTTGTTCTACCTGATCCATTATGTTAATGAGCCACAGAAAGAAATGAGATAAAATAATTCTAATTTTTATTACCATATGCAATAACCAAATAGCATCATGTTTATCTTACTCTATTTTCAGAATCTTACCTTCACCAGTCCTACTGTTACTGAGTTTTGGGGTACTGGAGTCTCCTTCTAGGGGTGGTTTCAAGGTTTTTTCTGTCCTGAGCAAAGAATTGGTCAAGATAAGCACAAATAGTAGCAAAGTTTTATTAATGATAGGAAAGAAACCATTTCTGTAGAGCTAGTTTGGGCCAAGTAAACATAGGCAAAGAAATATACTCTACAGCGTGAGGACCTGGAGGTTCTCTCCATGCAAGAGAGAACACGGGTGGGGACCTCAGTGTGGACTGCCC